CTCCATTCAAACACGTTTTCTTCTTTTGTTTTTTGCGGCCTTTACCTTAGCTGGCATGAATTCGACTTTGACTTTCGAATCGATCTGGAAAACCACTTCGTATCTCTCAAAACTAAACCGACAGTCTATCGATTTTTTTTCAAACGTAGACAGTCCAAAGTGTCCTGTTTACAATGGGAATCAAGCGGACTCTCAGTTTTTTGTGGTTTAGGCGTGGCATCGGACTTCCTCGAAGCCCCAGGATCAATATTTCTTTAGATGTGATAATCTCAAAAACGAATGGAAACATAGGTAATCGACTACGGTGACCTTCTGGCAGCATTTGTTTTTCAAAACAGTCTCAGAAACCTAGTGAAAACGCATATTCGGTGAAGTAACTCATTTTTGCCTATTTTTTAATAAAATTAAAAAATTCATAACCCATCCAAATTACGTCAGAATATCAAGATGTACTCTATTTTACCTGCTCTGTATGTTTTTTTTACTTGATAATAGTAAAAAATATTGCTGTACTTCGAAAGATTTCTAGAAAACCCTTTCAAAAACCAAAGTATTTTTGGTTGACTTTTATAGCTTTTATTGAGTTGCATCATATAGAGCAGGTAAAATAGAGTAGCTTAAAGTATTGGCTATCGAATGTTGAAAACCGCATGTTTATACCTTGCGTCGTTCACGACTTATAAATAAATTTAACTCATATCTGTTTAAACAAACATTAGGAATGAACGGGTTAATTGAAAATTATTTTAGAAGAAAAAGTTTCGAACAGAAAAAACCTGCGATGAGCGCGAGAAAAGTTGAATTTATGTGCATTCTTTTCTGCGTTTTCTTCTTTCTTTCTGCTTAGATTGACAGTTCTCTTGAACAAGTTATTCCGTACATTTACACATATTTTGTAGAAAACACAGTAGTCGAAACAATCACTTAAGTGGATAGTACTCTCCCCTTAACATCCTCTCGAAATTGGCAGGTTGTAGACAACATCTTTAGTGGTATGTCTATGAAATAAAACAAAGTTTGCTCAGGTACTGACAGTGTTAATAATTAATTAAGTTTGAAATCTAATTAAAGTTCCAATAGCAAGTCCCTCTTTTGGAGAGCTTGCAAATCGATCAAAAATGATCGTAGAAATATAGTCTTGTGTAGTTTGAGTGCCAATGACCGATGGTTATAGTTTCACTCAAAAAGTTTAAAATTATTCTTTTAAGATAGATATCAAATTATAATTAATAAATGCTAATTAATGATAATCCGTGTCACTCTGAGGCCTTACACTTTCATTTATAAGTGCTTAATTTCCTGGAAATCTTGAAGAAATATATTATTCGATACAGTTTTTCAAGCACCACAAAACTCTGTATTTGCTTTTCTAAAATATTACTAAACAACAATGTAGAGAAATAAACGTTCTGACTAACGGTATGTTTAAAACACATTTTTGATGTACTTTGCAGTTGGAAGGTTTTGTAGTAAACCCGGGATTAGAAAAGGCCAGTATCTCAGAAACCTGTGATAGGGAATTGGGATCTCAGTTGATTTATATGTTTCAAAACGTATAGAGTCCGAAAATGTGCATTGGGGCAACAAAAATGGGGAAAATGTAGTTAAAAATAGTTCGGGATACGATCAAAAATCAAATAAGTGCCGTAATACTTGTGTAACATGGCTCTCAGCAAACTTACAGGAAAAATGTGTACAATAAAAGACTGGATTTCTAGATAGAACTACCAATGAGGAATCTGATACACGTATTACTTTTGAGTAGATTATATTTGATGGTGAAAAAACGCATTTCAATACGACGGATTTTTATGATTTTCACTGTCTTAGAACAAGTGGAGTAGAGCATTGAAGCGTTTTATTCCTTGTTGCCTCTAGTCTGTATCCTAAAGCGTTCATGTTTGTCGCTTTTGTCATTCCTGAGATAATTAGGTATTAATTGCGTCATTCGTCGTACATTATACTTGTATCATAACTCTGCTAACTTTTATTTTCCATGATAAGGAAAACACAGAAGAATCCATCGAAAATAAGTTTAGAAAAATATTGAACTCTTGAAAAGCAAACAAAAACAAAAAGATCTAAAAGCAAAAAGTTGATTGATAACTACTATTTCGACGTATGTCTATCTATTTCTTTCTCATCGTTTTTTATTAGCTTTTTATTCTTTATTAGCTTATTATTGGAAAGCAAAATGATATGAAAGTTATAATATAAGTATAATGTACAACGAATGGATCATTTCTCTGCAGCTTTCTTCAATATGTTCATATAAGATTTCCTCATGCGTTTTCACAAAAGCTTTTAGTGATTTTTTTATTCAAAGTAAGACGAAGAATTAAAGCCCTTTTTCTATTATATTTCGACTACACGTAGTTGTTTAAGAAAAAATCTATGACTCTATGTGGTCATATATGCGATGGCTATGACTGTCATACATAAAAACAAAATGTAAAGAAAATTTTTCATTGAAGCTCTCGCAACATCTTGAGTAGATTTACTCAAGATCTGAAATTTCTGTTCCCAAGATCTTGATCAAAATCTTGAGTGGAGTAAGCCAAGATGTTTCAAGGTCCTTAGTGTAAGGTTCAAGAATCCAAGATCTTGACTTCCTGGTGTTTTTTCCAGTGAGCCGCGATTCTACCCAAGCAGAAAAAAAGCGAAGTGGGTCCCAATTTTTAACCTGTCAAAGCTAACTTAAGTACGTTGAAGATAGCTGATGCGTTTGAATTCGGCGCTATTCACTCAATTAAGCGCCCTTTGCATCACGAAGGTACAGCTAGCTATTTGATCCAAAAAATCTACGATTAAGCGGGTGCTTGAGGTGTTTGATAAACTAGATTTCCTTGCTTACTCTTTTCTGCCTGGGTATGAAAGAGAGAGGTTGCAGCGTAAGTTTTCGTTACAGTGGCTATCTTAGCTGGCCAAGTGTTTTGTGTATCCGAGTTAAGACGACCAGTCTGTCATTTCTCTAAAGGTAGAATGAATCGAAGCTGAAGACTGGAAAGTGGTGATAGATTATTTTTGATTTTAAAGAAATGTAGTAGTCGAAAATATTTTCTTCTTAAAGATACGTCCGGAAGTTTTAACTTATCGATTAACTCACTAACTGAGCTGCTAAATTTTAGACAAATAAGTTTCGCTGCTAACTTGCTAACCTTATTAAGAGCAGTACTATACCATTGACTATCATAAACAAGCAATTCGTTCGGAACTGTCCCACATTTACATGAAAATTTGCCGCAAAAATCGCGCCATAGCTCATTTGAAAGAGCATTTCATTTCCAGTAAGAATGCATCATTTAAAAGATTTTAAAACATCGGCATGGGGTTTTGTGGAGGGTCGAGATTTGAGGATTTTAGAAGTTCCAAGACGCAATTAATACCTAATTATCTCAGAAATGACAAAAGCGACAAACATGAACGCTTTAGGATACAGACTAGAGGCAACAAAGAATAAAACGCTTCAATGCTCTACTCCACTTGTTCTAAGACAGTGAAAATCATAAAAATCCGTCGTATTGAAATGCGTTTTTTCACCATCAAATATAATCTACTCAAAAGTAATATGTGTACGAAGTGAAATCTGGAAGGAAGATCATAAAGCTTTCGGGCAGAGTACGAGCACATAGTCTCCTAAAGTCAAATGACATTTTTAATGATTCTACTTGTGTTGCATGTTCTAGTTATTCAATGAAGTTAATTTGATAGTCTAATTTCAAATGTATATGTTTAATTGATTTTAAGTTTATAAATGATTTCAGAAAAATATTTGAAATATTTAACATTTTAGTTGTACCGATTAGATAATAATGTTAGATTTTCTATATTTGGATACTAAAGATGCTGGTCGGTTAGATTATTGCTCTTCATAATGTATACGCGACTTCTTTTGCACAAATTCTGAAAACTATGTCAGAAGAAAGTCTGTAGAATATTGATTAAAAAGTACAAGCTTGAAAAAGTTTGAAAAACATCTCTTAAACATATTTGTCAAGAAAAAGCTTGTGTCTTCGGCTCTCAAAAAGCAGCACTGTACAGTAAGCTAATAGTTTTATCAAATGGTCTATCAATTTTAGCACTATTAGAATGAGAGTGAAAAAAAAAGGTCAAAATGTGTTTTAGTCTCATCTTTTGTGAAAAGGTGAAATCGTTTTTCATTTTATTGCTGTTCGAGTTTTAAATTTAAAATACAACAGTGTAACGTATTTAACTATGCAAATGATTTCTTTTTTTTCTTTGTTTTCCTCTGAAAATAGCCTTGTACCCGATTATAATGTTAATATTACATTCATGATTTTATATATATACATCTATGTGTGTGTGTATATTAGTAATATATTTTTTCTTTCTATATATATATGTACCTGAGTCAACGGTACTGGCACATTCATAATTTTATCATATAACGAATATATGCAGTTTATTGTTAGTGCCATAAAATATTCACAGAAAAAAAAAAAATGAAAACTTATTCAACGACAATATTTTTCTCTTCTTTCGGATCACTTCTCTCATTATTCCACCTACAATATGTCGCTTTAATATCAAAATACATTTCTCTAATTTTTTATGTCATTCTCTTTTTTTTTTGCGTTGCTCTGTAAGTCATATACTTTTATCTCTTATATACATTAATTTAATGGTATACATATGTGATATTTTACATGAAAAATTTCAATTCAATCTTCAAAACGTTGTATTTGAATGAGATTAGAAATTTTTTCAAGATTATAAATGTTTGTTGTGCCAAGATAAAAGGATTACTATGACATCTTTACTATGTGTAGTGCAAAATTTTTTTCTTTTTGTAGACTAAAGAGTTTAACTTTCAAATTGTTTCTGCTGTATCAAAAAGTTCTTTCTTTCTTATAGAACAAAAACAGAATACGAACACACAGAATATCGTTACACAATTATTATTTAGATATCTTTTCATTTTTAATAAATCTATCTTATATACTTTTTTTCCATATTATACGTGATTATCTATTAAACAAATGGGTTTCAAAGAACGTTTTCCATTACCAATTCCAATTATTTTAATCATAGCACAAGTAGGTCTAACAGCAGCCATTGTGGGAATCGAAATTCGAAGTATTTACATTGATCTTGTACATGGAACAATATGGGCTGGATTCTGGTGTGGAATTATTTTTGTCAAGACATTTTTAGCTATGTCATGTTTTGGTAAGAGTTGAATTTTTGCTTTCATAAATTAATTATGAATATTAAAATCAAAAAAAATAAATAAATTTTTTCTTTCTTTCTTCATATTAGTTTGTTGTGGTCGTGGTCGATGTTGTGCTACCTATTGTCTCATTCTCAATTGTATAAGTGGTATATTAGCTTGTGTTCTAATTTATTTTGATCAATTTTTAATGAATAATTTATGTAAATGTTATTTGGGTCCACAAATATGTTGTACTATTACCGGTATTGGAAGTTTCAATTCACAATTGGGTCAAACAGCAGTTAATTGTACTCAACAATCTATACAGGGTGTATATATTAATCAATGTCCCGTTTATCCATCACAAAAATATCAACTATTACAGGCACAACTCGGATGTAGTGTTGGCATCTTAATTACGTGTATTGTCTATATTTTAACTTATATATTTGCCACTTTGGGCATTTGTTTTGGACATTAAATTTAAGAGAATTTTAACGATATATATTACCACTATTTTGCATTTACTTGTATGTACCTCTATTGTATAAAAAGTGCAGTGTGTAACATTGTGTGTAGTAATTCTATATTTTACAACTGTTTCTTCAATTGTGTGAATGACATAGGCATTGTACTCTTCATTCCTCATATGAAGAGCAACAATAACTTTTTTTCTGAATGAATTATTTTGAATTTTATTAATTTTTGTTCATTTAACTTATGCCTGTTAACATTTCAAACATTATCACTTTATCCGGTGTCGTTTTCTTTAATTATAAGAATTTAAATACTTACAAAACTTTGGATTGAAGATTCACTCTTCCGTGCAACAATAAAATGAATTCCATTATTTATTGAGTAACTTACTTTTGCGAATGACGTTCAAATACGTTTCGATAAATGAAATTACAATGATATACCTGATAAAACGCATCTCAAACGAACACTCATCAAACTCGAACACGTTTAAATCGGTGGATCATAGTAAAATACGAGAGGATCACTTGCTTAAGTATTTATTTCAATTCAATAAATGGAGAACGGAGAAGCTTTTTAATAACAGACCCGTTCTAAAAAATCGACCAACATTTTCCCCATCAAATAATGTAAGCCGAAAAAACTTTAGAACATACGAGTGATTCTGGTGATTTTTGTACTGTTCGACCTAAGCAGATGGATCTGCATGGTTCTCCGGTAATACTAAATCAAGCTTTTGGAAACGTATTTTGGACACTTTATTCTATATATGCTCTTTTCTATCTTATTCCTGAGTACACAGTAAGCAAAACACTTTGTTTTTTGGTTCTTTTTCTCTTCTTTTCTTAGTGGTTCCTGCACGCTCTTTTTTCTTAATTAACATTTTTTGTTCTTTTAAGGGGACAGAACAAAACCTTTTTTGCTTTTTGTGCAGTATTTTATCTGCTTTGTAAATCTGCAGTCTTAGTTTTACCTAACCTCTCTTAGTTTCTGTGAAATCTTCGATGGAATTTGTGGTCTTCGAAACATTCAAAAATCGTGTCTCACCCCCTTTTGAGTCTACTGCGCAGCCAGTAAGCACTTTAAGCCAAATGTTTTCCATGAAAAAGTTCACCAAAGTAGGCACTATAGATTGTTGAAAACCGCAAGTTAGTAGCTTTTTTCGTTTTTGAGTAATTGACATTTTACTGGCGTCCAGTGGCTTGTGACATACAATTTGTCCCACCCCCTTCTGACTCTCTCCTGACTGAACTACATGGAATTAAGAACTTGTTCTTTTATCACATATGTCAAATGGGTAGCACAAGTTATGCTGAAAATACCAAGACTTCAACTCATTTCTAACGGAAGAAATTTGAAAAATACATCAAAATGTCCCACTCCTAACTTTTGTCCCACCCGCAAACGTATCTCTAGAATTGTAATGGGTAGCACACAAAGCCTCAAATTTTACGATGATATATATTTTGGCACCCTGAACCGAATGGCCGGCTCAGTTTTCTGGAAATCAGCTCAGCAAAAGATTTTCAGAAAACATGAATTTCTAGAAATCTCAGCTTACAAATTGCCAAAAATCATTTTTTAAGGGTGCCAGTTGATAGAGCATATGTGAAAACCTATGTTTCAATATATTTTTAAGCTCAGTTATGCTTTTTTAGCTGAAAAGCAGAGAAAATCGCACTTTCGATTCTGAGTCAGAAAGTAAACAACCAGGATTTTGGCTGAGAAGCACTTGGTAGTTTGAAAACAGAGTTCTTTCTGGACTTTCAAGTACCTTCTATAAACCTATAGTGTTAAAATAGTTTTCTCGACACTTCCATTTTGGGTCATTTTTTTCTTTAAAAACAGTACAAAAGTCACCAGAATCATTCATATACTTAACAGTATTCTTTACACACTGAAAAGGTTTTAGAAAGAAAATATCATCGTACAAGTTACAAACGTATGCTTGACCAATAATTTATCTTAGGCTTAGTCCAAATCATTCAAGACAAGTAGAAAAATCAAGATTTTAATAAGCTAAGATTGTACTTTGATTGTTTTTCGACTGTTTTGACATTCATTCTTCAGAAGTGTATTATTCAGCAGCTCGTCAGAATTGTTGGTTATAATTGAAAGTACCCAAGTGAACCGAAACTATTTTTTTGTTTTTTTTATGAATTTTATTTATTTCAGAAAAGAAAAGGACATAGAACAAATCAAAACATTAGGCTTATTACATGTTCAGGAGGTACTTTTATAAGGGGCTAAGAGTCCTTACCATTATATCGCTACAACATAATAAAGAAAAAACGGGAAAAATGGTATAAAAAAACAAAGAAAAAACTTGAAAGATGTATCTGATCAAATGACAAAACAAATACTTTTTATAAAGTACACTACTAGGTCAGACCATTTGATCTAAAAGCCACCACACCGAGAAGCAGAGACGAGGGAGAAAAGCACGAGATTTGATCAAATGTGGTTTTGGCTGAGTATATCCCAAACATGAAATTTCATAAGAAATAAGCTAGTGCACTTGCTGAAGAAGCGCCCTACAGCTAGCTAAAAGAATAAATAAGTAAAATTTAACGGGTGCAGCTGGCTGGGGACAAATCCGCTCCAGCATTAGTTGCAGCAGGTATATACTGAATGAAAAAAATGGAAAGAAAAATAAAAGAAAAAGAAGTTTCTGCATATAGAGCGAACTCTGTATATAGAGATTAATAATCTTCTCCGTACGCCGCTGCATCAAAGGAACATACAACTAAAAATGTATATCCGTTGTTCTGATTAATTAATGAATTGAACTTGAATTTAAATTAGATTACTGTAATTAAGACTTCATGTTAAATTCGTACTCGTAACGACATGAAAAAACGCTTAAGTGCATCTAGTATTTGTTTTTATTTGCAATCACTGATGACCTTTATGGTCCTGTCAGCACAAAACAAGTGCATCTAGTATTGGCTGTTTTGCACTCGTACGAGTCTAAAAACTTGGTCCTGTAGTGTTTCATGTCCATTCACTCTCATCATACCATCGTAACGAGTTTAAAGACTGCCACCTGTAATAATTAAGATGATTTATCGTGAAGGAAGCATTTTCTTTTTTTCTGTAGATACAATGTTCGGAAACGCTTCTTTCATAATGAAAAACCAAAAATAATTAAGAAAACCGCCTTTTCACTGATAATTAAATTTGTGCTAAGAGAAAAATGTGTTGGAAATTAAATTTTACACACTATTGTCTCTAAATTCAACTCTGAAAAATGCTTCCTGCGTGAAGAACCAAGTTACTGTATGCGATTTCCAACTAGTTTCAACTAGTTGAAAATCATGTTACTCAATTCGTTATTAGCTTAAGCGGCCGCTATACCGTCCGTTCCATAGTGTGTACGTTTATGCAGCTAGCTGTAATGGGTATCGAAACTATAATAGTGTAGCTGGCTGCAGCGGACACTACTAGCTGATTTTTTCAAGCTTGGGATTGGATTTACTGATGGAACAAAAATTTCTTTTAATTTTAAAAACAAGCAATTTTCTTGATATAGAGACAAACTGCTTCGTATATTTTTAAAAAATTATGTTTTTGAGGGATAATCGTAAAAGAAGTGTATTTTTGTTGAAGGGTATATTTAATATTCGCCGTTGGTTACTTAAAACATTCCTATAAATCGTGTAATTGGGACATTCGAAAAAGAAGTGGTCAATGTCTTTGTCTACAGTTAGTTGTAGGTCTACTCTGAGATGACTTATATAGCTTCCACGAGTTGAGTAGTTGTGAGCTGTATTTTTTCATAATTACATAGTGACTAATCAAGCGGATATTTGGCAAAAAATCGAAAATGCACTTTTTCGAAATTCAGAAAGTGTCAAATATACATTGATCTACGCGCTATCTAATGACGTAAAAATGTTTGTTTCAAGTTGCGAATTTCGGAAAAAATGGTGAAGTAAAAACCAGCCTGCATAATATCTGCCTATAAAAAAAAATTCCATTTTTTTATTGAAATAAGCTAATCCAAAATGATAAAAGGCATGTATCTGAAATCTAGACGCTTCTGGCTATCTATTAGTAAAAAAATGATATCCTAAGTTTAAAAGAAAACGAATTATTTTCCGGACTGACGGTGCTTTCGTTCCAGTGTAATGAGTTTTCCACATTTTCTCAGTCTCCAAAATGCATGAAATTATACCAAAATGTTCGTCGACATGCAGGGCCGTAAATTGCGGGGGCTGTACATCCCTCAAAAATAAAAATTTGCCCTTTCCTCTCAGGGGAAACTAAACTTTTTTTCTTACCCCTTCCCCCCCCTGTCGACATGTGCTGGGTGCAAGGATAGACCTCATGGATTTTTCAAAATTTTTTTCGAATTCGACTTTTCTTGTTTCTATTAATATCTGACACGTAATATGACAATATTATGCGAAAATACCCATTTTTTAACAAATAAACAACAGATTTCCGCCTGCTCTATAGAAAAATGTCCACTGTAAATTGGTAATCAAACTAGTTTTTAAATCTTTCCTGAACATTTCTAGCTTTCTCTTTAGGCATAGTAAGGATAAGTGCCACGAGCTCAATCCATATTCGTATTATAGTTGAAAAAAGGCAGTTTGAAAAGTCAGACTTCAGTCGCTATAATTATTTATCTCATTTCTAGCATCATAGAATGTAGATCGAGTTGAAAAGATCTTATCTGAGCTTTGGTTCCGTTGGAGGTTTTCGAGAGATCTGCCAAATTAACTTAAAGCCCTATGTAATTTTTCGGCTCAACTACATTCTTTGATCTCTGCTAATCAGTTTCTGAAAATTTCAGCCTTTTTGGAGGAGAAATGAGTGAAATAATGGTTATGAATTTTTGACGGCAACAGACGAAAAATCGTCTTTTTTGACTTTTATGAAGTTGTGGTTGGATGGGGAATGAACATCGCCACAATGATCAGCGTGGTCGATTATCTACACAGAGAAAAAAAAACCGTGAAACTTATGACGGTTTTTATACACGGTTTCTCGCAGTTA